ATTGACTAGTGGGTGGGGGAGATTTAGGGAAAAGGGCAGAGGGCAGGTGTCCCAAGAAATCACAGGTTGTGATCAGTTAAGACTAAGCTGGCTGCATATAACAGAAAGCCCCAAAGAACAGTGGCTTAAATTCATAAGGATTTATTTTTCCTGTCTGCAAAAGAAAAAAAAAATCTGGAAGAAGGTAGTCCAGCATTGGTAAGTGACCCTACAAACACCCTAGACTGGCCTTCTCTCAACTTTCTGTTCCACCATCCTTAGTTGGAGGCATTATCCTCAAGAACATTTCATGGTATAAGATGGCTGCTGGTGCTCTGGCTATCGTATCCACATGCCAGTTCACAGAAAGGAGGAAGGGAGAGAGGTTGCCAAAATGAAACCAGCCAACACCTTCTGCAAGGGTGATTGAGAAGTGTGACTTCGTAGCCCAGTGTCCCATTAGTGAGAAAGAAAAATGGATATTTCATAGATGATTAGAAGTTTCTGCTGCATAAGATTTACTTGTAAAAGTGGTATGGAAAAAAAAGGGGGGGGAAGGGAAAAAAAAGTGGTACGGAAAACTCAAATTGGGCCCATTGGTGTGACTCTTGGTAGGGCGGTGAGAGGGGTGTCATGGCAGGTCTTGCCTCACTTACCCCCAGGCCTGAGGCTCCGCAAAGCTGGAGGAACTCACCCCACAGGCATTTCTGTGGCTTCACACCAGCATGTGTCTTTTGTTATCATTGTCCTGTTGGTTCCAAGAATTGAAACCCACTCTGGCAGCACGGAGATCTGCACACCAGTTTCCTTCCCCTTAGTATTTTTCCTCTTGCCTTTCCTAACCGCATCTCTTCCCATCCTCCGCTTCTCTGCTCCCAGACTCCCAACTGGCAGGGATCCCAGGTCTTCCTGGCCATGTCCTCCCCCTGGCTTTGTTTGAAGTCTCTGCTGTTCCTTCCTGCCCCATGCCTGCTGAGGCTATGTGTCCACCAGTCCCAGGTTTCTCTAACCCCTCTAGAATTCAGGATCCCAAGATGGGGAGCAAGAAGGTGTTACTCATGGGACCCCTGTTGGGAGAAAGCATAAGAGAAACCTTGTTACTGGGAGTGTCGTACCTGGGTCTGCTGTAGATCAGGCTTTCCAGCCGTCAGCCATGAGCTGACATTAATTACAGAAACTGGAGGACTCAATGACACAGTCTTTGGGGATTGCAACACAGTTAGCCTGGGCTCTGCTTGACATTAGTGCGTGGACTTTGAAATCTTGCTTTTGGGCCTGGTAAGAGGAGACTTGAGTCAAACTGTTGTTGCTGCCTGCCTCACCTGTGCCAGGTACTCCCGGCAGCCTCGGCGAGGGGCACTGGTGTGTGGTTGACCTTATGTTAGTATTTGCTTGAGGGCAGAAGCGGTGCCTTTTCTGTATCCTTGGTCTTCACAATCTGCTGTATGTGTATAGAGCCATTTATTTGCCACCTTAAGAAGAGGCAGAAGCCTCAGTGGGCAAATGTGGTTCAACTGTGAAGAGTCCTGAATGCCTGGGCAAGGAGGTGGAACTTTGCACGACCACCTGGCACCCTGTGAGTACCCATTTTCTGTCCATAGGGGCTGGCTCCATTCCACTTCCTGCTGACAAGAACCTGAAATTAAGCACCACCCAGGCCGTGTTTTTGTTTTGGCTGTTCAACCTCTGCAGTTGGGGGTCTAAGGAGCAACCTCAGAAACCTGGTCCCATCTGCTAAGGAGACCAAATGTGTTTTTCAGTTTTCCATCACCATAACAAGATATCGACCATGTCCATCACTATAACAAAGTAGCCAAGAAAATTAATTTATAAAGAGAAAAGTTTTATCTGGGTTCACAGTCTGGAAAGTGCCAGCCCATGATCAAGTGGTCCCCATTGCTTTGTGCATGTGACCAGGTGGCACCTCATGGTGGCAGCCTATGGTACAGAAGGACCACTCCCCTCACTGGCGGGAGACAACACATGGGAAGAGGAAGGAGCTGGGTTCCCACAATCCCCTTGGAGGGCACACCCTCAATAACCTAAGGTCTACTGTGCACTAGGCCCTACTTCTCAAAATTTCCATCTCCTCCCAATAAATAACACCACCTGGGAGCAGGCGTTAACAAATGGGCTTTGGGGGACTCTTAGGATTCAAGTGATAGCCCGAGGGATGGGTCAAGGTCCCTGTTGAGAGAATGGGGGGTGGGGTTAGAGGTGAGGGACAGGCGTCCATGGACCCAGGCTCTCTGTTGAGGGAATGGGGTGTGGGGTTAAAGGTGATCTTGGTACTGGTGCTGCCACCTGCCTTAGCAGTGATGCTCTTTCTGGTGCCATCAGGGAACATCATGGAAAGCAAGGTCCCTTTGGCTTGCAGGATGCTGGGAGACATTTCTAATGTCACAATGTGCCCCAACAAATAGGGAGTTAGAGTACAATTTCTAAACCCAGTTCAGAGAGTCAGTTTGCAAAAAAAAAAAAAAAAAAGAAGGTCGATGGGATCAAAGCCTTCTTTCTCATTACAGGATGTTCTAATTTGTTCTCTGTTCTGACCCCAGCTCCTCCAGTCATCCCCCCAAACTCCACCCCCCATGATGAGCATTGAGGCCATTACCAAGAGAGGCCAAGAGAGGGGACTTGATGGGGTCGTCAGGGTGGGGTTGGTGGTTTTGTCTGATGATTGTGTGTTCCACTTGGCAACGGCTGAGGTCTTGAGTATTCGCCAGACCAGCCAGCTCTGAAAACGCCTTCCTCTGGGTCAGGGTGTGCTGCAGGTGCCCTTTCACATAGCCCCCCAAGAATGAAGCAAAAAACCCACACGCCGTTACGGGGAGTCCATGCAAGGAATAGGGAGCAACCCCAGCTCTAACTGTAGTGTCATCCTAAAATAAGGCTAGGAAAATATACCAAGATACGTGGGTACAGGAATATAAGAAGACGTTTCTCATGACAGAGCTACAGAGGAGCAGAATCCATTGACACTCCAAAGACACAATCCCAGGAAGAGTGATGGTTAAGAGTGAGCGGTTGTATTGGGGGACAGGGGTAATCCTGGTAAGCTCTGGGAGGCCAAGTGGGGTCGGAAGCATTTTGAAGGAAATCTGATGTGGGAGGAGAGTGACTTCACAGCCTGCCGCTCCCCAGAGTGTGACCAACTGTATGTCCTGGGTCGACAGAGGCAGCGTTGGGGGTGGAGATGAGAGGTCAGTGGGATGTGGGCTATGTGTTAAAAATAAATAAATAAACAGGGCTGAGGATGGAGATCAGTGTAGAGAAATTA